TGCCAAAAATCTTTTCTTTGGTCGAAATATATAAAGTCATAAAAATTATACAATATTGATGGTGAAATGTGGCCTCGCATCAACTAACTTCGGGTCTTTATCACAAAGACTGAATATAACATTTTATTTTAATTTTAAAAATTGTAATTCGTTTTTAAGGTATGAGATTAGTGGAAGTTCACACGGAGCTACCATTCTCCTAAGGCCACTTCATCTCGTGTCGTTATCTTTGATTATTATTTTTTTGTTATAAGTTATCTTTGAATTAGTCAAAAGTCTTCGTTTCTCTTATTTTTTTATTAAAAAAAAAAGTACGGCTTTCACTTGTTTGACTTTCTTTTATTCCCTTTGCAAAGCAATAACAACGTATGTACATATGCATCTTTGTGTATGTGTTTATAGTTAAATGTGTGTGTATATATATATAGACATAACAGGAACAAAAGCCATATCACTTTCTTTCTCCTTTTGCCTCTCACAGATAAAGAATTTGTGAAACCCTAAAGCTTTAAGTATATTCAGAAACTAAAAATTCTGAGTAGTAAACCCTTAAAAAAAAAAAATCTGAGTAGTGAAATTTAATGGCGATTAAAGAGAGATCATTGGAGGAGACACCAACATGGGCCGTTGCTGTTGTTTGCTTCGTTCTCCTTTTCATCTCAATCATGATCGAATATTTCTTGCACTTTGTTGGTCACGTACGTATATCTCTTCTTCTTTGCTTTTCCATTTTTATATAATCAAATCGTTCTTTCTCTTTTTCTAAAGATATATAAGAAAAACGGCTTTATTCATTATCAGTTACTACATAACTTTGGTATTCAAAGGTTATTGCATCATCTCGTTTTACTAAGAAATAGAATTTAGTCGGTAACTCCCATAATCTCTAATTTTTCTTTTTCAATCTTTTATAGTGGTTTAAAAAGAAGCACAAGAAAGCTTTATACGAAGCTCTTGAAAAGGTTAAAGCAGGCAAGTTTACTGATCATTATCAAAAATTTGGATATGTGTACTTTTATATCACAATCTGATCGATATTTCTCTATTTGAATTTCCAACTAACTTTTTATTTTGGTTTGTGATGAAAATAGAATTGATGCTACTCGGATTCATATCACTTCTATTGGTGGTCTTGCAAACACCAGTCTCCGAAATTTGCATTCCAGAAAGAGTTGCCAGGACTTGGCATCCTTGTAGCAGGGAACAAGAGCTTGCTAAATATGGTAAAGATTATATCGACGATGGTCGAAAAATTCTTGAAGACTTTGATTCCAACGACTTTTATAGTCCTCGTCGAAGTTTAGCCACCAAGGGTTATGACAAATGCGCAGAAAAGGTAAGTTTTATATTTATTTACTTATTATTTTAGACCCTTTAATTGTTTTCACCTATTTTGTTTAGCAAACATATCGGAATCTAATTATTTTGAATATGTGAACAATTATTTTCAGGGAAAAGTAGCATTAGTATCTGCGTATGGTATCCATCAGCTGCATATATTCATCTTCGTGCTTGCTGTTTTTCATATTCTCTATTGCATTACAACCTATGCTTTAGGAAAGACCAAGGTACATATGATTTTCTCTATACATTTTTTACAAGCTC